ATGCCTTCCACAATTTTTCTGAAGACAGCAGTATTCTTCATGGGACAGACTTGATTCAATGAGTTTCTGTGCCTTTTTTTTTTTTTTTTTACCACCCCTCTATCTGGATGTGTTTTCCTTTGTACATAAGATGGCTAAAACAGAGCATTAGGTTTTTTAAGGAGAGCTTTGAACCTGGGAACTCCCAGTTTTACTTCCAAGTCTGTTGCCATCTAACCACAAATGCACATCACAAGAACAAAGACAAATGTGATATTAAAGAAAAAAGCTGTGTATCCTAAATATAAGTCCTATCAAAAAAGGACAAATTCTGCATCTCTTTTATAGCTAAATGGGCTCTGGTGACTTGTTACACGTAGTTTCCTCTCATAAAGTGTAAGAAAAATCCAGAGTCTATAAAGATTGCACATTCTCGGATGTAAAAAGTAGTGAACCAAACCCAACCCAAAAGTGTGTTACTGTCCCACCTACATCAGCTCTCCTGAAAGTATGATGATGACATTGATGGATGCAACCAACAGTTTTCAGCTCTCCTTCACCAGAACCACAGGCACTCCAGGCAGTCCAGACAGTCAAGGCTGTTTTGAACAAAAAGATGACCCCTCACAGAAGTGTGCCACTAACTCAGTAGCATCAGTTCAAAGGCTCAGACCAGAGACTGGGAGAGAGCCCATGGATGAGCACTCAAAGGGAGGAGGAAAAGCCACCTGCTTGGCTTGCACAAAGTTGGCAGTAACTCTTCAGACTGGGTACAATTAAGGCAAAGAGCAAAGTGTACTGGAGGCAATTTTCAACAGACAGGTCAACCAGATCAGACACTCTTTGACTCAGCACTGGCTCAGCCTGAGGTTTACAGCAATTTGCCTAGTGTGACAAGAGTAGTCATCTCCCTTTCAGCAGCAGAAATTTCTAAGACTGCTTTTCAGTGTCAAGACTCCTCACCAAAAGCAGGCTGAGCTGATTCTCTGTCATGAATGCTCTCACTTGCTGACTGCTCCTTTCCTGCCTTCAGGAGACTGCAAGTGCCAAAAAACTCCTCCAGGACAAACCCCAAAGACTATCACAGGCAGCTCTCCTCCAGGCCCTCTGCCTGCACAGTCTCACGTGAATTGCCTGTGTTATTCACCACATATGGAAAGACAGAGAAAGAGGCTGAAAGATGATGGAAGTCAAAGGGCCACCAATTTGAAGGAAACACCCAGCCTGGTATTTCTTCTGTGCTAGACATAAATTTTCCACAACCTCTGACTGTGATCAGCATCTGGATGACAGGCAGCAGGCCAAACTTGAGTCTAGGCAACACCTCTGAGGTGGTCCACATTCTGTACCTACCTGATGGTTCAGATGTTTGTCTTCAAACTGAAGCCAACTTCACTACACCTGGCAGAATTCTTCCAAAGCCTGCCTAGAAATGAACGTCGACTGAGATCATGACTTCAAAGACATAAAGTTTATATGTCAAATTTAATAGCTTTCCAAAAATTTCACAACTCATTTTGGTTCAAAAGACTTATTCCATAGCAGTTCAAACAGAGGTTATATCTATTTTCATTTGTCACTGGATAGTTTAAAATCATAACCAGCCAGTTAGATATCAAATTGAAAAACAACGTTTTCCTTCTGAGCCACTTGAACAAAAGACTATAGTATAAGCCAACTCCACCCTATCAATCAGATTTTAAAGATTGGACTGTGAATGACATTCCCTAGTGAGGATATGTGTGAAACTGTATAATGTATACTGTATGATACTCCCTCTGATCCATTCTGAATAAGGTCTCTTAGGCCTACGTCCACCCACCAAACCAACTGCAGTGGGAATGCCAAGAAGTAGGAAGAAGGTACAAGTTAAAATAATCCACAGATATCACCTTTAGCTTACATCATCCTCAGCACTTCTGTGTGTAGGTTACAGTTCAGCAGAGTGGGTGTAAATAGCTCTGAAATGTGAATGTTGGTTTGGAAGGATTATATTGACTCTGATTAATAGAAAGCGATGCTTCAAATGCTGTTTAGTACAAACAATAAAACAATATGTTGTTACAGTGGAAGGAGATACTAACATCCGTTTATGCTGGTCAACATTTTCATTACAGTTTTGTGCCTTTTTCATTTGTCTGTCAGTTTGTTTGTTTGTTTGTATGAATATGGGTTTTTTCCTTTTTAAGACCCTCACTATTTTCAACAGGTCTGTGAACTTGCGAGAACCATCTGGATGGTCAAGTGCCTTCTTCTACTTTTTTTTTTTTTTTAGTTCTATCAAATTTTGTTCAGGTTTAGTAATTTTTAAAATATTTTATAATCCATCTGTTTCCTGTCCCTCATCTACATTCTGCAGGACAATGCTGACAGCCTGCCAAACTAACTTGGCACAGACATCTGCAGGGCTGGGATTTGTGGACACATATAAGTGTTTGTAAGAGTCGAATCTCCAGTCCTCTATGTACCTGGGCATTTGCCTTTTCTGTTAACTGAGAGAGGTATAAAAACACCAACAAATTTTCTGTCACTCCCTGCCCAAGTCAAGAAGGGACCCCATTAATTGAAATAGTTTAGACTACATTCTTGATATGGAAAGAATCATGCACCAGAAGTTTTTTGCTTCCAGTCCAACAGAAAGAATTTCATGCTGTGGAGCTGCCCCTCTTTGTGTCTGGAAGTTACACTGACTACTCAGAGAGAACAGGAGCTCAGCTGCAAGTTAAGGTGAAGCTCACAGCAATGTATATCCAAGCAGAGTGACATGGGCTGAAATCCAGAAATACAGAAGAGACCGTATTTTTTTGGAAATGAGATGTGTGATCGTTTTAGATTTTGCAGACCCCCCACTAGGACTGTTCACATGCTACATGATGGCCATTTTGGATTTTCTGCAGCCATTTCTGAAAAGTCACCTGTACTCTTTAAAATGCTTCTCTGAGAATAGAAATTTACTCCCAGCATCCTTTTCTGTTTCTTCTCTCTATCAGATTAATTTCTTGGTTATGTGTCTTAATGTAAGATTCACAATGTTGCCCTGAGCAATGTTTGAAACTGCAGATTCTAAAGACCAGATTTTTAACTATACTGAGATTGGAGGATGTTGGAGGGGAGGGGTTGGGGGGTGGGGGGGGGGGGGGGTGGTGGTGTTGTTTCTACCAGACCTACAACATGTTACTCTCAGGATGAGAATGTTAGGGAAAAGGAGCTAGTCTTAAACACTATATGGGGAAGATTTCTATTTAAACAGATGAAGTTGCATGGTCACAAAGCCCATTTTGCAGTTTGATCCAATATGGATTATACCAGCATGTCTTCCACTTCTTCCTACCCCTTTGTCTCCCCTGCCCCAACCGTAAGTACAGTTGACCAATTTAAGTGTGCTTGGATTGCTCTGCCAGTACTTCTTGTCAGATGTGGATTCAGACCCAAATGCAGACTGGACTGGAGCCACAAAGCAGAGAAAATTTTAAGTTATGAAGCGTTCTCTTTGTTTTACAGCAGTCTAAAGAGACATTTTTGAAGGAAGGTTAAAGCTTTTATATCTCTGCCCATCTTTGGCATTCACAACTGACTCAAGTTGTTAAAACTCAATTTTCTGTGGCTCTGTTTAAAACATAAAACCTTTTGCTTTCTCTTTGGATTTTCCTTTATTCATTGCTTGAGCTTCCGTAGGTCCTTTAAAACTGAAATGAAGCTTTCTAAACTGTGAGGAGGTTTACTTGTTAGTGGAGCAAACACAATACCGCAATCAACCACAAATATTGACTTAACATAGAATCGATTTCTCATTTAAAAAACACTAAATCCTCTGTTTGGTTGGGGTTTTCCTAATCTTAGTGGAAATCTAGTTAGTTACTTGAAAACTCCACCACGGAAACAAAAAGCTCCATCTTTTAAAGCACGCTGTTTCCTCCACATTACAGAATTTAATACAGCGGAGGAAAGAGACAGCGGAGGTAGTGAGAAATTTAAAACTGTTGAGAGAAATACTGTCCCCACTGAGGTCAGGGGAGCCATTTCCGCGGCGCCGCATTTCTTGTGCAGCGCCGCGGAGCCGGGGAGCAGCCGGGGCGCGGGGGGGGGCGGTGGGACCGCCCGGGGCACAGCGGCGTGCCCGCCGCCGGGATGCTCTTTTCCCTGCCACGGCGAGGCGGAGAGGCTGGCGGTGGCGGGGACCCCGGCCGCGGACCCTCCGCCCGGGTGGTGGGTGCCAGGGACGCGGGGGTCGGTCCCCCGCATGCGTGCAAGGAGCGGGCGCCCGCCCGGGGTGGCGGGCGGCAAAGGCGGGCGGGAGAATTCGCCTCCCTGTGCCCGCCGGAGGGACGGACGGCTCCCGACGTTCCCGCCGCTCCCGCCCCAGCCGGCAGCGACACGGGTCGGCGGCGGCACCTCGCAGCCCCCGGAGCGGGCAGCAGCGCGGGGGCGGGAGGCGGATGAAGAGGGGCGCGGAGCTGCACCCCTCTTGCCGCCCTGCCCGACGAGGTTTCGGGTGGGCCTTGCCTCGAGGTCCCGGAGCTCTCGGCGGGGTCGGGCGGCCCCCCCTTCCTGCAGCCAGGCGACAGCCTGCGGGGCGCAGGGACGGACCCTGTGCGGTCTATCGTGCGGGGCGGGAGGACGGCCACGCTTTGCCAGGCGGGATCGCTGCCGAGGAGTTTGCAGGAGTGTTCGCAAGGGGGGGGGGGGGGGGGGGGGGATTTTTTAAAAAAGGGCAAAACGTGCAGAAACGCATTTGCAGGAGTCGGCGTGACTCGAGGGAGGAGGCGGCTAGAGCAGCAAACCCCGCCGCGCCGAGGCGCCTCGTCCCCCGCGGCGCGGCCCCGCGCTCCCGCCCCGGCCCCGGGGTGCCCGGCGACTCTGCCCAGCCCGCACCCCCGACGGTGGGGGTCCCAAAGTCACTGCATATCCGAGCACTCAGGAGGCGCTTCGACTCCCTAAGCGCTGCAGGCTGAATCTTCTCACGCTCCGGCGCTTCAGGAATACCTAAGGACACACGTGGTTAGGAGTGATCAAAGAGGAGATAAGACCAAAGATCACTTTAATTGCGAAAATGAGGACAAATAAGACTTTCAGAAAATCAGCTACATGTCTGAGGCTGTTAAAAGCACTATTTTCATTTAATGTAAGCGGTTGAAGTTCAGAAATGACTGGACACTTACATTCACGCGACGCACGAAGTTAACATTCCATTATACCTACAGATAACATAGATTACACAAAAATAAACAGGAAAATATATATATATGTATATATATATTTGGTCAAGCATTCATTTCAGGCAGCCCGTCGCAGAGGTACGCGGCAGCCGGCCCAGTGCCAGTGCCCGTCCCGGCGCCATCCCCCCCCACCACCACCACCCCTCTGCCCGGCCCGAGAGCGGCCCCAGGTCCCGATCGCAGCCGGCGGGAGAGAGCCGGGGGCACGGCAGGAAAGGGGCAGGGTGGCAGGGCAGTGGGGCTGTGCGGCGGGCAAGGCTGTCCTGTTGTCCTGCTCCGACCCCGGGCCAGGCCGGGGAAGGGGAAGCACCCCGGGTTTCCTGGGACCAAGCAGCTGAGATTGACGGAAAAGAGGGGGCACCCTCTGCGGGGGGCGGGAGGTGGGGAGTCTTGCGGAGCCGCCGCAGGGACCAGACGGGACATGCTTGACTCCCTCTGCCCTTGGCACCGCAGTCACACTGCCTGATTCTGGCCACAGCTCTCAACTTGCGGGTAGGGTCGTGCTCACGCCCGCCGGGGCTGGCCCGGGGGAGGGGGGACCCTGCCCTTTCCCAGCCTGCGCCCAGACGCCGCTTTCGCCACCTGCGGCTGACGCCGGAGGATGCTCTCGGCCCCTCCCCTACCGCCACGGAGCACATGGCACTGTTTTGGTTGAACGGTTTGGTTCCTTTTGTTGTTCATTGTGGTTTTTGGTTTTCCCGAGCAAGATGTGCCGCAGCAGCTGGCTGACTCCGAAGTAACAGCAACGTCTCCGGAGAAACTTTCAAGCGGCTTAGAAAAAACAAAACAAAACAAAACAAAACAAAACAAAAAAAAAAAACCACACTGCTTCGGAGGCTGCTTAAAATCCCTGTGCCGCTGCGTGCGCGGTGAACTCAGGGACAGTCGCACAGCGCCAATCCTTTCCTTGGTGGGAAACCCTCCGTCAAAGGCATTTTAAAAAATATATCCCCATATAATGAGGCTTGCCGTTACGGTTTAAGCCTCATAACCTCCCTGCGTTGCAACGAAGGGAAGCCAGATAAACTGGAAAGTCCTAGCATAGCAGAAGAGCTGTTAGACACACATAACGCAGACGGGGATGTCGCTGTAAGTACCTTGCAAGGTACCACACGGTCGCTTTTCCCCAAAAAAAATCCACTTGGTGGTTTCACAGACCGGGAAGCGACGAGCCCAGAGCCCCTTTCTCCGCTCGCCTTCAGCCTCCACACTCACACTGCCAGACCGAAGTCGGACTCTGAGCCCCACCGTCGTCTCCCCGTAAATCCAAGAAACCCTCCCTATACGGCGGTTTTCTGCATAGGGTGCTTTATTTTTACCGGTGCTACTCGGGCAGACGCTGTGGTTTACGGTGACCACAAGCAACGACCTGCAAACCCTAAGTCTACCCAGAAGGATGGAGGGGAGGGAGGGCGGGAGGGAGGAGGGAGCGCCGGCGCCCGGCAGCGGAGCCGCGGCGAGGCCAAGCGAGGCGAGGGCGGCCGCGGAGCCCTCCCGGGCCGGGCGTCCCGCCGCCGTCCCCAGTGGAGCCGGGCCCGGCCCCGCGGGGCTTGTCCGACGGGCGGAGGAGCGAGGGGACTCGGGCGCCCTGCGGAGGGGAGCCTGGAGCCCCCTGCCTGTCTGCTGGGCGGGGGGGACACTGCGGCGGGGGGCCAGGCGGATGGAGCGAGCGGCAGGACCCCCTCTGCCCCGTCCGGGAGCAGCGGGCTTCAGTGCCTGCAAAATTTGCACTTGATAATTTTCTTAAAAGCACTTTGGAAGTCTTTGTTGAAATAGGCATAGATGATGGGGTTGAGCAGGGAGTTGGAGTAGCCCAGCCAGTTGATGACTGCCCCCAGCCACTCGGGCATGTAGCACTTACTGTCACAAAAGGGCAGGACGAGCGCCACGATGAAGAACGGCAGCCAGCAGAGGATGAAGGTACCCATAATGATGCCCAGGGTCTTGACAGTCTTCCTCTCCCGGGACAGAGCCATCCTCCGCTTGGCCTCCGTGTTCTTCTCGTTGCGCCTCTCGAAGGAGGGGGGCGGCGGGGAGCCGCACGCCTCGCTGGGCAGCGGCAGGTGAGTCTTGGAGGAGCTGTTGCAGTGCTGGACCTCGATGATCTCCAGGGCGGCCCCGTCCTCACCCTGCCGCACCGCGCCGTTGACATAGGCACCGGGCTTCGGTTCCACGGTCCGCCGCCAGCCTTTGCCGGGGTCCCCGTTGCTTTTCTTCTGCAGGGCGGCCGGGGAGAGGGTGAGGCAGGTGTCGGCGATTTTCTTCTTCTCGGCTTTCTTGACGGTCTTGCGGATCCTGAAGCGGGCCGCCTTGAAGATGCGACCGTAGAGCACCAGCATGAGGAGAAGCGGGATGTAGAAGGCGCCGAAGGTGGAGTAGATGGTGTACCCGTGGTCCTTGCTGATGGTGCAGGCGTCGGGGTCCGAGCGGTCCTCGGGCGTCCTCCAGCCCAGCATGGGCGGGATGGATATCAAGAAGCCGATGAGCCAGGTCAGGCTGATAAGCGCGGCGGCCCGCCGGGGAGTCCGCTTGTTGACATAGTCGATGGGGTCCGTGATGGCCCAGTACCTGTCCAAGGCGATGGCGCACAGGTGCAGGATGGAGGAGGTGCAGCACAGCACGTCCAGCGAGATGAAGATGTCGCAGGTGACCTGCCCCAGCGTCCACTTGTTCAGCACCTGGTAGAGAGCCGCCATGGGCAGCACCAGCACGGACACCATGAGGTCGGTGACGGCCAGCGAGCCGATGAGATAGTTGGCCACGGTTTGCAGGGAGCGCTCCAGGGCGATGGCCGCGATCACGCAGGCGTTGCCGCTCACGGCGCACAGGATGAGCGTGCCCAGGAGCAGGGAGGTGAGCAGCTGGTAGCCTAGGGTCACCTCGGCGAGGCCGGGGCCGCCTGCCCCCTCGGGGGAGCGCTCTGGGGAGGTAGTGTTGTTGGCCACATCCATGCCGGGCGGGGGGGGGGGGGGGGGCGGAATCTCTTCAAGAGACGGGCATGGGAAGAGGTGCCGGTCACTTGTGCGCTCCCCTGGTAGGAGGCATCGCCGCCCCGTGCGCTTTGGCCACGCCGGCCACCCCCCCCTCCCCTTTCCGCGACCCCTCCCTCCCCTATATAGCGCGGCGGGAGGCGGCCGAGGCTCGGAGGACGGCGGCTGGCGGAGCCGCCCCGCGCCCGCCCATCCCCGCCGCCTCTGCCCAGCGCGCAGCCCCGGGCGGCGGGGGCGGCCCTCCCGCCGCCGCTCGCCGAGCTGCTGCCCTTCGCTGCGCCGCTCCTTCCTGCTCTGCCTCTCCGCTCTCCCCTCGCTTTCCCTCTCCCTCCTTCCCCTCCCCTTCCGTCCCCCCCTCCATCCCTCCCTTCCGCGGCGGGGGGGGTGGGGTGGGGGGGAGTGAGGAGGGGTGAGAGTAGGGGGGTTGTCTTGCTGCGTCGCCATCGCCCCCCGGCGCCGCAGGCGGACCGGGCGGGCGGTCGCCGGTGTCCGTCCCTTCCCTCCTCCCCCCTCCCCGCTGGGGCTACACTACGGAGAAACCCACCACGACTCCCCCCCCCCCCCCCCCCCTCCTTCCCACCGCCCCCTTCCAAATCTCCTCCCCGTAGCTCCGCCCCGGGCACCGGAGGGTCTTCGCTTCCCCTCGGGACCGGCGCCAGGGCTTGTGCGGGGCGGGGGGGGGGGGCGGGGGGAGGCTTTCAGCGGCCAAGCACCGCCGGCCGGGCCGGGGGGCACCGCACATCCGGGGCGGGGGGCTGCCCGCGGAGTGGGGATGCCGGGGCGGGCGGCACCGGGGGTGCTTATCGCCACCTGCAGGCAGCCGACGGCGGCCCGGGAGCGGGGGGGTGGGGGTGGGGGGTGTCGGCCGGGCACCCGGGGCCGGCGGGACTTTTTGCGGGTCTGCACCCCCGCCCCGCTGGCCGGCCTCCGTGCCCATGCTGCCGGGGTTGCCCCAGGAGCAGCCACCGCGGATGCGGGGGGAGAGGGATCACGGGCAGCCGTGTCGCACGGGTGTCTCGGGACACACACACACACACACACACACACACACACACACACACACACTGCTGCGCAGCGCCGTGCCGGGCAGGGGTCCCGCTCAGTCCCTCAGGAGTGATGTAGCGGTGACCGTCCCACCCGTGACGATGCACGCCCTCGCCCCAGCGTCCTGCCGCGGGGAGAGTGGTCGCTGCCGTCGGGGGCTCCGCGCCAGTGCGCGGCTCCCTGCCGAACGGTTCCCCGCGGAAAGAAAGACGGCATCTCCCCCCGGCCCTCCCGAGGGGGGAATTACAGTGCGACACGCTATTGAAAGCGCTGTCCTCTCAAGCCAACAGCAACAGCAAAAACAGCAAAAAGCAGGGGGATGGAAGGGTGGAAGAAATAAAATGCGTTACCGTTCCTCTCGATAGGAAGAGGAAAGGCTGAGTGAAATAAGAAAAATGTCTCTGGGAACAACCTTGGACAAAGAAAGACTGCCAGATTTGCAAATCATAAGCAAATCGGTTAATACCCATTAAATAGAACAAACAATCACAAACCTGGAATATATCTATAATTTACATAAAAAATCCCCTGTGTTATTGACAGACTTAACTCCAGCTGCCCGTGAAAGGTAAAGGAAAGTCCTCTGACATAACTTCTGCAGCAGGCTTTCTACTGTCTTGCGACAGCTCAGTATTTTTAACGATGTGAGACCTTTCACTCTGCTTTGTAATTGTGCCATGCAAGCCCAGAAAACGCAGAAAGCCAAATAAGTAATTGCTTAACAGGAAGATTTGCCAGATTCTAACTTAATCAAACTTGAGATGAGAATCACAGATCCTGGCTCGCACACGCTCAGGTTTCCTCATCTTGTCTCAGTCAGCACTAAAAAATAAGGCTGAGTTCACAACTTCTCAACATTTGGACAGAATTCGGCCAGTTCCTCTTTACGAGGGGACCAGGCTACATTTCTCCGCCTCTAGGCTTCCGATCTTTGCTACCAACAATGAAGGCGCAGATATGCGCCGTATAAGCGGAGCAGAGCTGCACCCCTGCATGCGCGTTGCCAGCCGATCGTACTAACATTTACGTGCTCTGTGTCCTATGGAATGAAGGCTTACACTGTTGAGACACAGACAAAACAAAACATAATTGATATTTAAGTATTCTTTGCTCATTCACTACCAAGACCTATTTTCTTGTTAATGTCTCTTCAGATGCATGGCGCGGTTGGCTCCTAGAGCAGCTGCCTGTATAAAGACCCTTTCCCTTCACCGAAACCAAAGTTTGTGCTTCTTGCTGTTTAGAGTCAGCTTGATACAATAAAGAAAGTGCAAGTGGGGGAGGTGGGGAAATCTCAAGGAAATCGTCCCAGTTTCCTTGCATGATGGTAGGCAAAACATTAGCCTAATTAAATTAGCCTGAAACTAGCGCTTGAAAGCCACGGGGAATGCAGGTTTTGGGAGTTCACGAAGGGCTCTTGGGAAAACCGTTTCCAGTGATGTTTTACGCTGATACAGCCAAGGGAAGTCAACCTCAGACACTTTTTGCTGAGAAATTCCAGTGGGGAAAAGTCGACAGGTTCCTTTTTCAATTGAAATATTTAAATCGGCTTACTTTTTGAATATCTTTTTTGTTCAGAGACTGAAAGTTGTTTTACTCGGAATTAAATTGAGAAGCAATTTGGGCAACCATGGAGGAAAGGGAGGGAGTAGGAGGTGGAAGATGTAGACGAAGGGAAAAAACTCACTCTTTTGATGTGATAGCGTCTTTAATCCTACTAAGCATTTAAACAGCAAAATACCCGTTAAGCTTTCAAACAACTAAATGATGTGCTAATGTCTTTAGATAACCTAGGTGAGGCACCTAGAGAAATTCTTTAAGGAAATCCATAGCCTCATAAAATCCAAGCTGACTTGAGAGAAATTAAATCTTAATACCGCACAACCTTAAAAAGTCCAATTAAAATATTAATGTTATTCAGTTATGACACAGCTGCGGCAAACAAGGTTCCTCAGTAAGGACGAAAAGAAACAGCATTAACAACTGTGACAGAAGATGCTTTCCTGAGCAATTTCATTCTACACATTTCAGAAAAGGGGACAGCTACATATTATTGATGTTCTCAGATTATGACTGTATTATGTATTTGCCAAAGTAAAACTGAAATGCTACCATTTGATTGCAGCATTTTGTTCATGTGGTTACATATTACACTTTGGTTTGAAAAGGATTTGTGTCTAGGGGTTTTTTTTTACTATTCACCAGGATAAGATGCAGCATTTGTGTTATTTGAGAAGTTATATTCCAGTAATGGTTTCAAAATGAATGTGCTTTACTAGGGAGCTAAAGAAATTAACGATTTCAGTTCACTGAAGCTGATCCAGTATGTGCAGTTTTCTGTGGGAGAGGTTCCAAACAGGTGGAAGGAAAGATATACCAGGAGACAACCTACCAACTGCAGCCTTCTTGAATTTTCTCATTAGACATCTTGGAAATAAAGCCAAAAGGAATTATCACTACTCTACACTGTTCAAAACCTCTGAAGAACAGCTGTAACTTTAAAATACAGAAAAACAAAGAAGAATTTCATGGCTGAAGTAACACAAGCACAAGCATTTCACTGTGAGATCCACTTCAGGATACCTGCTCCCACCTTTCATAAAGCACAAAATGTTTCACGGTACTTTAACAAATGTAAGCTTTCTACTGTTTAAAAAAAATGGGGACAGGAAAGTTTAAGATCATTGCTACTATTGTAGTGATATAGCTCTCAGCCAAACTGCTCTGGATCAAAATGAATCCAAATTTGGCAATCTGTTTAGTCTTGACTTCGTGGACAAGATGAACTAGCCAGAAGTCTAAATGACTTTCAGTACTAGTAACAGAACTGTTCCCGGTGTCCTATCTCTAGCTATGGCCAGTTTGTGAAGCCCTGCACATCCAACTCATATGTATCAAGAGGGGGAAAAATCCCTACTCAATCCTACAATTAGAATCTGTTCAGAATCAAGACACTACAAATTCAGTGCAATAGCACAACAAGGAAGCCTGAATTTCCAACTTCTGGATCACTGTTGTGCCATCTCAGTCTTTTTTCCCATTTGGGGCATAGAGGTGGGTTGTCTAGTTCTCCATGCAATCCTGTTCATCCAGCTCAGATCTGGCTAGCTGTGGCCCAGTACGATCTATGAAGCACTGAGACATTTCAGTAACTCTTCAAGATTCAGCTCGGGTCTAATAGAGGTAACAGCATCAGCACAGCACTCAGATCCAGGACTGAGTTAGGTCCTGCAAGGTACTGAGATGTCTCAACCAGATACTTAACACTCCCAGTCCTGCAAACACAGAACACTGACACCCAAGATCAGGTGTGGAAGGATCTGCTAGCTCTGGTGTCAATCATGCCAAAGCAGCACTGCTGCTTCATGGCTTTAATGGATCTTGGGAGTGGTACAGCTGGGTTCACATGCTGATAATTCAGCTTTTGGTGGCTCTTCACTGAACCCACTCAGATTTCTGTTCCCTCTTCATTGCACAGTTAAAACCAGATCAATAATCTGGGCCCAATAATCCAGAGTAATAACCTGGAAGATGCAGGATTAACCACCATCTCAGAATGCTGAAGTGCTTGTCTACTATGTTTCCCATGTTATTATTAACCATGTTTTTCATTGCCTGAGATATCCCAGTTGCCACTATCATCCTAGACAATCGTGAGCTGACTGCAAATTCCACTGTCCTCACTCCATTCAGCTGCTTTACCACAAGTCTCATGCTCATCATTTTTAGTAAAACCAGAAATTAATTATTTAGATACACAAGTATTTATTTGCTACTTCTGCCTTTCTCTGTGAAGAGTTTACAGTAGTAAATAAAATTATAGCATAACTCAGCATAACCCATAAAAGGGGATAATTTATTGTACCTCACAGTCGTAGAAGTAATAGAAGAGTTGGTAAAAATTTCATCCAAAATGAATAAATGTTATGTATATTCAAGCATCATCACTGAAGTGAAACTGTTACTAGTGATGCCTGCTATCAAAGGGCAGCTTTTATTCAAGCCTAAAAGTTTAAGATGAATCTTGAAATATGTTCACTTCAATATTGTTTCTCTGTGAAGAAGAGAGACTTTCAAGCATATTTGTTCAAACATAGGTTTTTATAAGTTTATAGAGACTTCACAGAATTTTGATATTCTGGGAAAACTTGACTTTAGGCTAAAATTCTTCTGTTACCCCTTTTGTACACCGTGCAGCTGTGATGAAGAAAGATCTGGAACATTGACTCTTAACCATTTGTAC